CGTCATGACTCCGTTTTCTTTAATGGCGAGGGGTAACTCCGTAGTTTCTATGTAATTTGGACCCTTTCAAGATATATACACGTGTGTCATATATCTTATAATAATATTTTTGACATGGTTTTGTTTAACATTTCTTTGTCTGAAAGACTTGTCTGAAAGGTAACAATTTAGAGAGTTAGTTAACGTCGATTTGACAGAACATCAGTAGTTTAAAAATTCAATATAAGAAATTTTTTTTTGGCTTTTGTTTTAACAAATAGTAAAAAAGATTGGGGTTTTTATCAACAATAGTAAGAAAATTATACTTTGTTAGAATTTGTCATATATAAACATAAATATACGTACGTATCGTCCATGAATTTGGATTTTGGTAGTATGTATTCAGAAATACAAGGTAACTATATTGCATTATTAGATAGTTTTTGTTTGTTAAATATTATATAGTATTTCTTGGGATGTTTCAGGCGATTCCGAACTATATATATAAATGTGTTATCTCCTTAATTTGCTTAAAAGTATAAGAAGCAATTATGTCTCCACAAAAGGGCTGATGATATTCATGTAACTAGAAAATTGTGGTACGGAAAAATCAATGAGTTTAGAGCCTTTAAAGTATCTTCACATACTTTTTCGAATCCCTCCCCGACCAATATATCTCTATCTGTATATTTCTTGAAATAATGCTAATTAAATTCATTAATCTGTATATTTTATAAGGCGTTTGGCCCTTCAAACATGCATGTAATATGATCAGCTAAAATTAAATATAGATTTACACCATGTTATGCGTGATATGAATTTATATGAATTTATATTCGGTACGTTTCTATCTCAAGGCCATACAGGCATGCATGATCAGAAGATGTCTTTAGAATATAAACATAGATACAAAAGATATAAAAAGACACAGACCTTAACACATTGATTATCAAAATAAATGACGTTTCTTCGTTGATTTTGTAATTTCTTGTTGATAATTGGCGGACGAGCCGAGAGGGGACCGTTCGAATTTGTATAATTTGTTGGGTAAACCCGGAAAAACACAAAACAAAAAGTGAATAAATAAAGGGAACACGTAGAGCATATCGATGCAAATCGTGGAGGAATAATATGTGAAATGGATGGATGATCTGTCATTTTGTAATGTTTTCATCTCAAATGCATTACGTAGCTCTTTTCGAAAGAAAAAATAATGCATATACGTACCTAAGACCTACCGTTGCCTAAAACGATAATATTCTTTTATTAGATATTGCCGTATAAATTTTTCGGGATCTCGTGTATTTAGCAACTTGAAATGATTATATGTACTTGATGACGTGTATTTAGCAACTTGAAATGATCATATGTACGTGATGAAAAAATGCTTAATTTCTATTTTAAGACGCATATATATAAACTGAAAAGTATACACTCAAAGCACATATGAAAGCATAACCCCCTGAATTGATCAGTATAGGACTTTTCGATTTTATTTATGAATTACCCAAATCCACTTTAAGGGTAGAGAATAATTTCAGTCGATTAAGAGTGTTATATAACTTATAAGTTACAGTTAAAACTACCAACAAGAAAAAGAGTATTCTAGTTCAAGATTTATAAAATTCTCTTTATATGATTATAGATATTTTAATGACCTCATGTTTAGAAGTTGATAATCCAACAGTAAACCCATGAAAGCTAATAACCCTTGAATATTGTCTTAAAACATCATCAAACATTTTCATAAGTTTTAATGTATTCATTTGATCTAAAATTTTGAACGGGGTAAAGATAAATTAACTAATACTTTCACTCAACTACAGGTGCCATAATTTTTATAATAAGGTTAAAAAAGTGTCCTGATAATTACCAAAAATTTATGTTATTTTGTATAATGTTACCTATAAATTAAATAATTACATGACACTGGTGATATTAATTAACGTTTTAATTTTTATCCTTTATAGATGTTTTATAATAAGAATACCGTCATTACCTTTCAAAAAGTTTGCTGGTTGATGATGCTGCTGGAACACCTGATTCCGAATCATTCTTAGATTTTTAATAAAATCTTTGTCGTCTAATATTTGTGTTCTTCTACGCATTGGTATCTCTCGACGACCTCGTATTGTTAATTGCATGCATGAGAGGAAGGTGCGTATCTTCACAAAATAATAAACTAATACGATTATTTAATTTTGATTTTGAACCATGCATGGACATTGATATTTAAAACTATAGTATAGCGTTTTCAGCTTATTATATGGCGCTTTCATTTCTTTACACAACCACCCAATGGATGGTTATAGAATATTTGTCTCTTCGTGATGATTGTGTCCCTATATGCTGGCAAAATTTAGCAGTTTTTGTATAACTAGGCGTCCTAAGCTAGAGCATAGCGGTTTGCTAATTTTGGTCAAGGCGTGAACCGTTTCATGATCAAATGTACATCCATAAAAGTCGATATCGTTCTACTATAGACTTGGGCACGAATTTGATATCTGAATATTTTAGGATCAGAAAATTAGAAGCTATTGTTCATTGGACTAATTAATATAGTAAAGGCATGTTTAAAGCTATTGATTAATAGAAAGTTGTAAACTTTGTTACATTGTAAATATATCGAACATCTGAAATTGTATTTTATGTATATAAACGGTCAGTTATATTATGTTTAATCATATCGAAGGTAAAAAAACAATTATCCAATATATAGTTAGATGAACTAATTTTGACAACCGTAATTTTTTTTTTGATAATTTCATGTGAAATAATAAGAGAAAATATTTTAAAAATTGATATCCAAAATGACAAAACGGGCCTAGTGTCACACATCCAAGAATAGCTTAAAAATGCGTAAAATGGGCTTCCGACTATGTAATATAACGAATAGACATAAGCCCACGAAGAGTCTTTCTTATTATTCTAGGACATGCTAGTAGTTAATTAAGTTCTCTTTTTGATAAAATGATATCCACTTTTTTTATTAAAAGTCGTAAGGAATATTCGACCACGTGGCAGGAGAACGTTGACGGTCAAGATAACGGTATCCGTATCACACGCTGTCACGTTCATACGCCCACGACACAAGAAACCAATCAACAGCGTCCCTAACGGATTTCAGACTTTAAGGAAACAAAATCGCTGGACACGTCACGCGTCAAATACTCTTTCTTAAGATCAATTATCCCATGCACCCGGGACCACGTACGCGTGGGAAAGTATTATCATTTACACCGTTGGATCCAAAAGTGCGATTTATCTAACGGTACTCTTGTGCAAGTAGTGAAGAAAACAAATATTATTATAGTTTTTTTTTTTTTAAATATTGGAAAGTGGCTGACCACAAACATGTGCATGCCTGCCTGTATCTTGCAGCCTTCATGTGGATTTATCAGTGCGACACTATCCATCATCAAAATAACTCTCATATTCACTTTTCTTTTATGAAAATTTATTACATTAAAAAAAGAAATATTTGTATTACATTAATCGCACTGCCAAAATCAATGAGATGGTAGTTAATGCAAAGGTGTTATTTGATTGGTGCCAAATAAATATAACTATCGAACGAATTATGTATCTTGAAGGTGATAATAACGAGAAGAGTTTTGGCCTGCCAAAGTCCAATATTTTCTAATTGTTGTTTCTCACTTATTATAGTTTTAGATAAATGTATAAAACCCATTTTTGCTAATAACAAGCGTAATACTAATAATCGGGGTTTTGGGTTTTGAGCATAACGACACTTTTACCAAATTATGTTACGGTGAAAGATTTTGAATTATGGATTATATTTTCTGTTGATAAATCGGCTAATGATTGGTAGACACATCATCGATCGTCATTCCTTGAGAGATTACAACCAAATTTGAAGTATTATATTACTAATATATATGGGAAAAAATGCATGTATTTCCACAATTACCGTTAATACTTAATAGTACTCCATTTGACGGCTCTGATCGAATTAAAAAGAAAATAGTACCTAAAGATAAGCTAATATATGAAAACTGAGAAGAAAAAGTATTAAAAATAGCTGAGAAGGGCAATTCCTGAATGTTTTGAGGAGGACAACCTGGCTTGGTTCTGTGTTTTAAAACCAGGTGTGTCCTACAACTATAATTACCTTAATGTTTTTAGAATAGATGATTTATTGTTAAAATTCGAGAAAAAAAAACCCAAAGAATCCAAAAATTTCCAAAAAATAAAAGAAAAAAGAGAGTTTCAAAAGAAAAAATTTAGAAGGTTGTGCCAGAAAGTCTGAGACACACAAAAAAGAATCATTCATATACAAATATACCATTGCATTACTATGTTTCGGTTGCATAGACATGTCAAAGAACATATGTAAATTAACTAAAATAAAACAGAAGTTGTAAAAGACTTTTTATGGGTAGAAAATTGTGTAGAAAATAATTAGATTTGTGAATAGAGAAAAACGAATCGACAGGCGAAAAAAAAAAAGATTTCAAACTTTTTTCTCACAGTTATTTATTTAATCTCTGAGACAAACGGTCAAAGTTTGGGTTTTTTACTATTTATTAATTTTATATGCAGATTTCAAGAGAGAGGAGGTTGAAGACAGCGAAGCAAATGTTTATGCAGCGGACCCAACAAATATATATATTTATATTACACGCATATATGTCGATATATATACAGCGAAAAAGGTGAAATTGGGTCTCTGGCTTTTCTCATTATTTCATTTGGTTCTCTCTCTCTATAGCCATTGACGTGGGTTCCCACTAGCAGCTTTCTTGTCTTCTCCATTGCTTCCTCTCTTTTTCAGTTTTTCTTCAATCAACACAAACAGAGGTTTTCGCTCTTCTTCTATTGTCTCACCCTCTGCGTGTAAAGATTTAATCTTTCTTTTTGTAGTGTGTGCTTGGTTTTTTTTTTCTTTTTGGGAGGGGAAAAAAATATATTTTTTTTTGTCTTTTGCAATCAAAAAATTTTCGGAGGAGAAAAAAGGTTGAAACTTTGATGTGAATTAGGGTTAGTTTTTGATTTGGGAGAAGAATCAGATGGCTCAACAGAGACAGTTTCCGATGGAAGGTAATAATCATAACAACGATACGAAGTTGACAAAGATCTTCGTGGGAGGATTAGCGTGGGAGACGCAGAGAGATACAATGAGACGTTACTTCGAACAGTTCGGTGAAATCGTTGAAGCAGTCGTCATTACTGATAAGAACACTGGAAGATCCAAAGGATATGGATTTGTATGTTCTTCTGTCCTTACCTCGTTTCGTTTTCTCAGATAAAGTTTCAAACTTTTTTTTTTCTCAAATCGGTTTTATTGTTCAGGTGACGTTTAAGGAAGCAGAAGCAGCAGCGAGAGCTTGTCAGAATACGAATCCTGTGATCGATGGAAGAAGAGCAAACTGCAATCTTGCTTGTCTCGGTGCTCAGAAACCTCGTCCTCCTACTTCTCCCAGACATGGTTTCACTCTTTTTCTATCTCTCTCTCTCTCTATATATATAGAATGCAACGGGAGCTAGCTTAAGTTGATTAAAAAACTGATCTTTGGGTCTTTGGATCTTTTTTACTTGATTAACACGTGAAGGAGTGGAGCCTATTTAGTGAATCGAAGCTTTGATTTGCAGGAACAGGGAGATTTAGGTCACCTGGAGGAGCAGGATTAGTTGCTCCTTCTCCTCAGTTTCGAGGCCCTCCTTCTTCCTCTGCTTTTGTTCATCATCAGCAACAGCAACACGCTGGTCAATTCCCTTTTCCTTACTCTGCTTACGGGTAAGCAGAATCATCACATCAGTAACAATTATTTGATCTTGTTTATGTGTTTTTGTTATTCTCCTTGTGACATAAGGTTGTATGTGTTTCTTCTTCTTCTTCATCTGCAGGTTTTCTGGTTATCCTCAAGAGGGAATGTACCCAATGGTAAGTTACTTTCATTGATCTTTCACAATGTGACTGTTTTCATTTCACAAATGTAAAATTTTCAACTTTATGTTTGTTTTGTTGCAGAACTACTACAATCATCATCTCTATGGAGGGCAACAGTATTCTCCATATATGGGAACTCCATCGCCAGGAGCAACAGGAATGTTCCATGGTTACTATCCTTTCTATGCTCAATACAACGCAGCACAAAGTAGCAATCAAGCTCAAGCTCAAGCTCAAGCTCAAGCTCAAGCTCATCACCAACATCATCAAGGTTTCAGCTTTCAGTACACAACTCCTCCTGCTCCAACACCTCTGTTGCAATACCCTTACTTGCCTCATCAGCAGTTCAGCTCTCAGCCTCCTCCGCCTCCAATCCTCTCCCTCCCAACCTCTTTGGCTCTGTCGTTATCATCTTCAGCTTCGTCTTTAACTTCCACATCAGGTCTATTTTCACTACTCAACTCTGAATCAAAACCATTTGTTTGTTGAATCATGCTTGGTTTGTTGATTCTTGATTGTTTGTTTTGTTTTGTATTTTAGCTGCGACAACAGCAACAAAAACGGTAGTGATTACTACATCGGCAACGAAAGCAGCAGCTGAAGGAAGTAACAAAGATGGACATGAAGCAATTACATCATCCATCAAGATAGAAGATTGATTCAGTAGTACAATAGCAGAGCAAGGAACTACTTCATTTGTACACTAACTCATCATCGATCTCTCCAACATGTTCCAGAAACATTTATTCATATCCGTTTTTAGGATTCTAGAATCTTAATTAGTACTTAGGAGGAGGAAGTGGAAGAAGAAGAAGAAGAAGAAGAAAGAAACATCCATCATTACATTCTTTGTTTTATTTATTTTTCAAGATTCATATCGCATTTTTAGGTTAAAGAATCATAGAGAAGGCATTGGTTGCCTTTTTTCTAGGATTCTTGGATTGATGCAGAAAGCATCATTCAAATTACATTAATTTGGGGATTTATTTTTCAGGTTCAGAAGAATTGTTTTATGTCTTCTTTTGAACCCAAACAGGATTTCAAGCTTTGGATAAGCTTGAAAGACCCTTTTTCACATTTGTAATTCTTGAAATTGTTTTAATTAAATCTTATTGCTTGTTCTTGTTCTTCATTACGATTATAACTTTTCGAAGATAAGATCTTTACTCTGGTGCGTTCTAGGGAAACCCAAAATTCGTTCATATAGTTCCCTTTCAGCTGGAATTTTCTCGTTTTCTTTTGTTGTCAACTTGTTGATATGAAACATTGAACTTTTACTATTATTATTTATTATTGATTTGAATTCCCATGATTATTTCTTTTAACGGTTTCTCAGCGTAAAATGATTATTTGTCTTTGGATTCCAAAGAGGATCTTATGAAGACAAAAGTTCCGGTCAAAAGACCGTTGGAAAAAACGGATCTTTTTCTTCTGTCTATGGATTAAAATTTCATGATTATTATTGTTTAAATAATTTTGAAATAAAACCAGCACTTAAAAACAGCTGTATATTTGAATTCGTTTTTTCTTCCAACTTATGTGAGACTTTTAGTAGAAGCAACAGAAAAAAGTAGGTTTTGTCTGCACGTATAGATAGAAAATGGATAAAAAATGCGAAACTATTAACGGATTTTTTTTTTTCTATTTGTCGAAAAACTGATCAAATGAAATTATGTAAAATATTAAAATTGGATGGTTGAGTTAAAAAAATGTATTTAAAATGAATCAGGGATAATATATACTCCCTCCGTTTTTCTTTATAAGATATTTTAGAAAAAAAAATTATTCATAATTAGATGATGTTTTTAAAAATCAATGTAAAAAATAATTATTTTATTTTATATATTATTTTTCTATTGATTGAATTGTTTTGAAATTGATGTTTTGTTTTAAAAAAAGAAAAGATTAAATAATTTATTAATTTCTGTGCAAAACTTTAAACATTATATATGAAAAAAAGGAAGGGAGTAGTTTATTAGACTTATAAAACCAAAATTTATGTGAAGATTTGGGTTTCAGTTTCACACCAATGAAGTTAGAAGGCTTAAGTATACAAAATGATGTGCTTTTGTATATCTGAGGCCCAACTCTTTACAAAGCCCATTAAGTTTGTGAAATGTGTAACTTAGCTGGCCACAAAAGCTTATACATATGTAAACACGCAAGCATATGTGAAATTGTTTATTACGTAATTAACTGTCCATATCATACACCTACAGATTATTTGTTATTGTCTATAGATTGTTCTAGAATTCCTTTTGGGGGTATCCACAGAAAATTATTATACTTAAACAGCAACAAAAAAAGAATGAATTTCTATTTTCATTTGGGGTCGAAATTTAACACGATCACCACCATTTTTCCTTTAATCAATGCTAGTGGCATTTTATTAATGGTCCATTTTTTAAATTCCAAAAGAAAAATTAAATATATTTAAGGCGATATGTAATTTGCTTTTAGAAAAAGAAAAAAGCCATCCAATTTGAATGATAGATAGAGCTGCTGAAAGTAATAATATCTACTTTTGAAGCCAACCGAAATCACTCGGATCAAACTTGGCCACACAAATTCAGTAGTACACCACGTGTCATCCATATGACCACTAGATCCTCGTTGCTTACGTGGCAATACCGAGACGAATATCTTCACTTCCGTAAAACTATACCATACTGACACGTGTACTGTGGACCTGCGAAGCAGAGGACCACCTCCACCGAATCAGCCGCGATACAGAAAAAATCAAAATAATGGCCCATATTCAGCCACGTCAGCCCAATGACGGCCCGCCTTATTATTCACCGTTAATTAGATTTCCCAAATTGTTTATTTCTATTTTTCGTTTTCCTCTGGGCAGAGAAGTCTTCTTTCTCAGCGAAGATATTTTCGCGATTTGAGAGGTTGTGATCAAAAGTTGATATACTAAAGAAAGAGTTCTTCTTCCTGCTTCCTCACTACAACTTGAGATATCTTTTTCTTCTTCAATCCTTTGATCCGAAACGATTTTCTCGGCGGATTAAGATCTAAATCTCGTTGATCGAGACTCTTTGTTTCGTTTGCTGTGTATTTGACTTTGTTGTTGGTGATACCGAGTTGGTACCTTTTCTCTCTAAATTGTCTTTTTCTTTTCCCGAGCTCGGATCGATGGGGGAGATTGTGGTTTTAAGTAGCGACGATGGCATGGAGACGTATGAAGAGACGATGATGAACAGAGGCAAGTCATCGGAAGTTGTCCGGTGGGAGAAGTATCTTCCGAAAACGGTGCTTAGGGTTTTGCTAGTCGAATCCGATGACTCAACTCGCCAAATCATCACCGCCCTTCTTCGGAAATGCTCTTACAAAGGTCGATTGATCATTTCTTCATTGCTTTAGCTCTCGTTTTAGCTCTTGATTTGAAATTTGAGATTTGAGATTCGTTCGATCTGTGAAATTAAACTCGAATCCATGCTTTTGATTCAAAACAGTTGTAGCTGTTTCCGATGGTTTAGCTGCGTGGGAGACTCTAAAAGGCAAGTCGCATAACATCGACCTTATACTAACGGAGCTGGATTTGCCATCAATATCTGGTTTTGCTCTCCTTGCTTTGGTGATGGAGCATGAAGCTTGCAAGAACATTCCTGTCATAAGTACGATGGTGATCCCCCACGTCCTTTATATCTTTCGAAACGCCACTCATGAGTTTTTTTTTGTTGTTCTAATGCTTTCCTTTTTTGCAAAATGAATAGTGATGTCTTCGCAAGATTCGATAACAATGGTCTTGAAGTGTATGCTGAGAGGCGCTGCTGATTATCTGATTAAACCCATGAGGAAAAACGAGTTGAAAAATCTATGGCAGCATGTGTGGAGGAGACTTACTGTAAGTTATCTTCGCTGCTTTCTTTGGTTTAGAGCTCTGTTTCATTGTGTTGATTTGAAGATTGAATGTCTTATCGTGTTTATTTGCGTATGAATCAGTTGCGTGATGATGGTACTGCTCATGCTCATAGCTTACCAGCTTCACAGCATAACCTTGAAGATACTGATGAAACTAGTGAAGAAGATTCCAGATATCATTCTGATCAAGGAAGTGGTGCTCAGGTACGAGTGAGTTGTGGTTATGACTTTGAGTTTGAGGTTGATTTCAGTAGATGCTGATATTGTGTACATTTAAATTTCGCAGGCTATCAGCTACAACGGTCACAATAAGCTAATGGCGGATGTCAAACCGCTGGATGAAACTGACAAAAAAATTGGATCTTTCGATGTGACAATGGATTTGATTGGTGGAATTGACAAACGGACCGAGTGTTACGGTAAAGCCAACTCTCCTGACGAGTGCGTTGGTCCAGAGCTTGGGCTCTCTTTGAAAAGATCTTGCTCTGGAAGTTTCGAGAAGCAAGATGAAAGCAAGCATCCAAAGCTTAGTCTCACCGACGCATCAGCCTTCTCACGGTTGGTTTGCTTTCGCTTGCTAGTGAAAAACAATGTCTCTTGAGTCTTTTGATTAGTGTTTTTGATCAACAGGGACTACTTGATTTTGCAGATATGAGAACAGCAAGCTAGCAGAGAAAGCAGTCGTTGCTTTAGAGGCGAGTAGTTCAGCTGAGCCCAAGACACCAAGCGAATCACATGAGAAGTTGAGAAAAGTAAGATCATCTGATCACGGAAGCGCTACAACGAGCAGTAACCAAGAGAATATCGGATCATCAAGCATAAGCGGACAGAACCAAGTTCTTCAGTCCGCGGTTACGAATCAGAAGCAACACCCGCAAGACTCTCCCTCCTTTCCAGAAGAATCAGTTCGCCTGAAAGCAGGCAAGGACAAGGAGGTGGAAGTTGGTTCTCAAAGCACCTGCAACACCAGTGGACAGAGCAGCAGCACAGAGAAGCCAAAGGAAGACGAAAGTCTCAGTTTTCAGCAACGTTGGAGCCAGAGAGAAGCTGCACTGATGAAATTCCGACTGAAGAGGAAAGATCGATGCTTTGATAAAAAGGTAATAGACCTCTCCTCTCACAAAGCTTATATTGATTCTTCGTCAATGAAATCTCAAAGATCAAATTGATATAATTGGGCCAAATGTATAAAATGGATTACAGGTTCGGTATCAGAGCAGGAAGAAGCTAGCGGAGCAGCGTCCACGTGTGAAAGGCCAGTTCGTGCGTGCCGTGAATTCAGACGCGTCTACTAAAGCCTGAAGCCCAACTCACAATTTGTTTTGTTGGGTTTATTGTATAATTGAGAGAATTATTTAGATTTGTTATATTTAGTGTGGCTTTTGTTGTATTGTATGCGAGTGTTTTCTTCTCGGCTAATCTGAGAAACTGGGGTAATTTTTTTTCCCTTTTGTACAGATCAACTCTGCGAATGATCATGCTCTCTACTTAAAACCGTAACTCCAATTTCTGCAATATTTTTTTCATCTTGACTATGTAATTAAGTAAGTAAACTATCAATCGGATCCATAATGGTTATCTTTGAATTTTCTTTTTCCACTATGATGGTATTTCGTATTTCCAACTCATACCTATATGATTCTGTTTTATCTGACTAATTCAAAGTATTTCAAGTAGTTTCCACTTTTGTTTTTATACCTAAATTCATACGCAAGTTGTTAAACCAATTAAAAATTTCAAGAAAGATATATCTGAAAATAGCACAAAATGACAAATTACTAATTATGGAAAACCAAATCCCAATCATTTGACTGAACCGGTAATTAACTCCATCAAACCGCGAAAAGGGGCGCTTGGTTCATTACGGTCTGGGACATTAGGTCCACGTGTACGTAATTTTGACCGTCAAAGAAAAACAGAAGGAACCATACAGATTCGAGATCTGGAAGGAAGGAGATAAGAGAGAAAAGGGACCCAGAAGAAAAGGAAAGGTGAATCTCGTGTAATCGGTGGCGGCCGATATTTTATAAAAGGGTTTTTGACTCCTTTTTTTGAGCACATCACAGAGAAGATTCTCAAAAGGAGGAGTGAATCAATCAATTCTGAATAATCCCCTTACCCAGCAAAACTTGAATCTCGACTCTTTCTTCTGGTGAGTTTTTTTTTCTCTGTTTTGTTTTTATAGGGCTCTGTATTAGGGTTCTTCGATTGTTGCGCCTCTCTGAATCCTTCATTTCTCAGGCATCCACGTTTTTAGGGTTTTTGTTTTCTCACATTCTGACTTTGATATCTGGAATTGGTCTGAGCTGAGATCTTTTCAATAGTTTATTCATTTGGGTCGAACTTGAACTATTCTTTGCCGATGCATCTCTCTGTAGAGCTTGATAAAATCGTGTTAGATTCTTTACCTTAGTGATTGTGACACTTTGGAATAGGTCTGTGATGGGAACGCTCTAGTTTATATTATTGGGGGTATGAGTACTTTTGCTGTATCTTAAAATTGAATTTATGGCTTTTGACTATAGTTTTGATGATTATTATATGCTGTGAAGGCGTTGACTTGTTTGTTTTTTTTAAATCCTTTCGTTTGTGTTTTGCTTTGAGATTCTACTCCTTAGTGGGATACATGTCCTTGTCCTCTGCTTTGCTCTTTGTGGATAAAGTTGCTTCCTTTTTCTTTTGTTGAAACAGATTGCCAGACTCTGGAAAAACAATTTTGCTTCTTTCGATTTGGGATTAACTAATACCGTCTTTCTGCTCTTTCAGATGGAGCCCTCAAGCCACCAACATGGTCACATCATTGAGATTAATGTAGGAAAACCTGATGAAGAAAGAATAGTTGCGGCAAGTAAAGTCTGTGGAGAAGCTCCGTGTGGCTTCTCAGATTCGAAGAATGCTTCTGGTGATGCCGAGGAACGCACTGCCTCTATGCGAAAGCTCTGTATCGCGGTGGTGTTATGTCTATTGTTCATGAGCGTTGAAGTTGTTGGTGGCATTAAAGCCAATAGTTTGGCCATTCTTACCGATGCAGCACACTTGCTCTCTGACGTTGCTGCCTTTGCCATCTCCTTGTTCTCCCTGTGGGCTGCTGGTTGGGAAGCGACTCCGAGGCAGACTTATGGGTTTTTCAGGATCGAGATTCTCGGAGCTCTTGTATCTATCCAGCTCATTTGGTTGCTCACCGGTATTTTGGTGTATGAAGCCATTAGCAGACTTCTCACCGAGACCAGTGAGGTTAATGGATTCCTTATGTTTCTTGTTGCTGCGTTTGGACTAGTGGTGAACATCATAATGGCTGTTCTCCTTGGACATGATCATGGTCATAGTCATGGTCATGGGCATGGGCATGGGCATGGACATGACCATCACAGTCACGGTGGGAACCATAGCCATGGGGTGACTGTTACCACGCATCACCATCATCATGACCATGGTCATAGTCATGGAGAGGACAAGCACCATGCTCACGGGGATGTGACTGAGCAGTTGTTGGACAAATCGAAGCCTCAGATCGTGGACAAAGAGAAACGAAAGAGGAACATCAATGTCCAAGGAGCTTATCTTCACGTCCTTGGCGATTCCATCCAGAGCGTTGGTGTTATGATTGGAGGAGCTGTCATTTGGTACAAACCGGAATGGAAAATAGTCGATCTGATTTGCACTCTCGTCTTTTCGGTTATCGTCTTGGGAACAACCATCAACATGATCCGAAGCATCCTTGAAGTATTGATGGAGAGTACACCCAGAGAGGTTGACGCTACGAAACTGGAAGAGGGTTTGCTCGAAATGGAAGAAGTGGTGGCTGTTCATGAGCTTCACATTTGGGCCATCACTGTTGGAAAAGTTTTACTGGCTTGCCATGTCAATATCAGACCAGAAGCAGATGCAGATATGGTTCTGAACAAGGTCATTGATTACATCCGCAGGGAGTACAATATCAGTCACGTCACAATACAAATCGAGCGCTAAAGGCAAAGCTAACATCCGAGGAGTATTTTGTATCAGCATTCTCATTAACAATAAAATCAATAAAGTCTCTACCTTCTTCTTTTTACTTTCTCTTGTACATCTCTGTTTAGGTATCTTGGTGTAGTATATGTCATCATCGTTTGGTTCAGCTCAAAGTAAGCACTATTCCTCTTAAAAAGGAAGAAACTTTTTGTCCTTCTCTCAGAAAGTGTTCAAAGGACACGACTACTTAGAACAGATACGCCATTTTAACTTTTCTGAGATGAGGTCTGCTTTCATTTAGATTCATCGTCTTCCTAGGAGTCACAGGGCTTGTGATTGTGTTAGAAACAGAATCTGATTGATTGTTAGGCTTTTAATTGATTTGTCACAAGTGGGCCATGTTTGTCCTGAGAGTAAGTAACCAGAGCTTTTAAGTTACATCAACAAGTACACACAGAGATGAAAGTCTCCCAAAACCAAAGTTGTTGATAAGGTTCCTAATGCCATTATTTAAAGGGACTATATGTAAAGTTTGAAACTTTTTAACTTGCTTAGGCCGTTCTGGTTCTTATTACAGTAGTATGAACGAGAGCTCGAGCATGCAGACAAACTGATTTCGTGTTTCTGGGTAATTTGTGTTGGATCTCGTCGAGAAAAGGGACTAGTTTTGGCTGTGTTAGACTACTTAGCACGTGAGATAAACAGAGGCCACAACTGAGAACATGGATAAGGTTTCTCTTCTTGTGAGCTTTTATGATCAAAAATCTACGTTCTTGTTTGTCCTCAAAGTGATAAAGCTTTCGGATTTGATCGATAACAAAACGTAGTTATCTGGAACTGGAATGACGAAGATCCAAGGAAACCTGTGAATATTACAGAGTAAGGGACCGAAAAGGGAAATTGGATCCATTTGATTACGACATTTGTTAAAGAAGTAAAACAAATTTACCGTTTATGTATTTACTAAATCCGATGAAGGGAAGAAAAAAATGATATTTAGAGGCAAACACTGGTTAGTACCCTTAAAGCCAAGGCATCGACACTTCTATGCTTAACAGATAAGAAAACCAGAACTCACGCGTTAATGAATGAACACACACTTGCTTAGACTTGGAAAGGTTCGATTTTTATTTGTTGGGTTTCAACAAAAATCAAAGCTTTTTTATTAAGAAACAAATCAACGGAAGCTCTCTCATCTTCTTCTTCTTCTTCTTCTTCATCATCTTCCGTGTAGTAACGAAAGTCCCCACAACTGTCTGTCTTCGCTGCCAGACAAAACTGCCACAGCCAATAATGTTTCTTTGAGGGACCTTTCTTCTGTCAGAGACTCTCTCTCTCTCTCTCTCCTCCTTTCTCTCTCCTCTTCTTGCTCTGCTCAGCCTCACCAACTCATCTTCAGTCCTCAAACAAAACATCTGTTGTCATCTCTTTTTAATTTTAATTTACCTCTTTATTTCCTTCCCTTTCTCTCTGATATCTCACTTTCAATAACCCATTTTCTCTTCAACATCTTCATAACAATTTAAGGCCACTGTTTCTATATAAAGCTAACGGCTTTAGCTTCAGAAGCTTTCATAAACCAGAAGCCAGTACATGAGTTTCTTGTTTTTACCTCTTTAAAACCCCCTCTCATTTATTTCTCCCCAAAGTTTTCCGAGAGAGAGAGAGAGAGGTCTCAGCTTCTAATGGAGAGGATTCAAGGACAAAACAAGCTCTGTGTAATGTATCTTATCTCAATTTGGAACGTTATTTCATTTTTCTTATTTCTTTTCTTCTAGTCTTTGTTTGCCACTATTGATCCTCTAATCAAAGATGTGGACTTGCATTTACTCAACATCCCAAATGAGTCCATAATGGGTTGCATTCAATGCTGTGATGTTGGTTATACCGAAAACACTAACAAATCTGCTCTCAACTGTTTACCTCTCTTTGAAACATTCCATTTTTCATTCTAATTTTGTTTCTCTACACTGACCCACTAACCAAAACTCACAGTAGAATACCCAAATTTCACTGCAATTCTCTTTTTAATATTTCTCACTTCTTTCTTTTTTTCTCTCAACTCACATGGTAGGTACCTCCCTTCCTCTGTTTTTTTCTTTTCTTCACTTGCAGTCTTTGGATCAAAAAGTAAATGTGAGAAGAAGCATACAAGTTCAAGGATCTGCAGAGGATCAAAGCTTTCCCCTTGAGGAAGATCAGTTCTCAACTCCAAGCTTGCAAGATACAAGAATTCCATTTTTACAAATGATGCAACAAAGTGAAGAAGACCCTTCTTCGGTTTTGTCCTTTAAAGACCCAAACTTTCTAGCACTACTCTCTCTTCAGACACTCGAAAAGCCTTGGGAACTCGGAAGCTACCTCCCACATGAAGTTCCAGAGTTTCATTCGCCGATCCATTCTGAAACCAACCGGTACTACCAGAATCCATCTTTGGAGCGAGTCAATGAAGCAATCTCAAGCCAAGAATTTCAGGTGAACCAAACAGACAATGCGAATTCAAGACGCAAACGCAAAAACAACAGCTTGGCAACATCGACGACCAGAGAAAAGAGAAAGCGAAGGAGAACCAAACCAACAAAAAACACAGAAGAGATGGAGACTCAACGAATGACGCACATTGCGGTTGAACGAAACCGCAGGCGCCAAATGAACGTTCATCTCAACTCACTCCGCTCCCTCATTCCACCTTCCTACATCCAACGGGTATCTAAAAAAAAAAAAAAACTTCAACCTTTATTAAAGTTAAGCTAATTTTGCTGTGATTTCTCCATAGGGAGACCAAGCCTCGATAGTAGGAGGAGCAATAGACTTCGTGAAGGTCCTCGAGCAACACTTGCAATGCCTTGAAGCGCAAAAGATAACTCAACAAACCGATAGCAAAGATAATAATGATCACAGGGGCATTTCGTCGAACGAGTTGTGTGCGACTGGTGAAGAACAAAGCAGTAATCTCAGAATCGATGCCACAGTGATAGAGAGCCACGTCAATCTCAAAATCCAATGCCCGAGGAAACAAGGACAGCTTCTCAGATCAATCATTCTGCTCGAGAAGCTTCGATTCACTGTTCTTCACCTCAACATCACATCTCCGTCCAATGCCTCTGTCTCTTATTCCTTCAACCTCAAGGTACTTACTTATTCAAACAAACAAAAAACCATCCTTCAAAATTCAGTCTTTTTTTCTTTATCAGATGGAAGACGACTGCAATTTGGGATCGGCCGATGAGATAACGGCGGCGATACGTCAGATTTTCGAAAGCTGATTAATGGATTACAAAAAAAAAAAACACGAAAATCCAAAAAGGAAACGTAACGTTCTTTCGTAGCTTCGTTATCTCGAGTATGCGAAATTAATTATGATTGGAGTCTTCTCGGCATGGCACTTGACTTAAGTTACTCTACAGAGTTTTGGGTCCCGCCTGATAGATATGTACATGAAGTTTGACCTTCGTGTCTTTGTTCTCATCATTGTCTCTTTAGCCTTTCTTTTTAGGGTTGACTTTCTTTTTGAATAAATAAATAACATCTTATCAGATAGCATTGGGTCTGAATGTTCAAGATAAAATAGCCCACATGTCTTTGTGTAAATACAAATGAGGCCCGTTTCATGTTTTCTAACCATCATAATCATATCACAACATTTCATCGATTCAAGATTAAAAATTATACATTTCACAGTTCTGAGCCTTTTTGCATTTGCATCGCACTTTATGGGAGCAGAGAAGAATAATAATGTGTATTTACGTCACGCGATATAAGGAAAAATGATAACCACAGTACGAATTAGAGTTGAAAACTTGAAATATATAGAGTAGAAGGATTAAATTAACCCAAAAAAATATATACTAGATTGTAACCAAAAAGATTATGATAAATTATAAAGGGGTTTGTTCTAAATATTGTCGTCGTGTTTATAGAGTAATAATGAGTATAGTCTTGATTCAGTTCCGGTGATTTGTATGTGAATTGTAGCGGGGAAAATGTTTTTTTTTTCTTGATTCGAAAGGAAGAATTAAATTTTAAAAATTTCAGTCCCAATTTGTAAAAACCAAAAAACCAAATCCTATCCAATGCAAAACTACAAGATCGCCTCTACGACCGCCACGTCAGCACTATCCTGATCGGGAAACCCAAAACGAGTGGTCGAATCGTTTTCGACTGCTCACGGAGAAACCATCTCCACAATCCCCAAAGTATCAAATCTTCTCAACACACAAACAATCGTTCTCCACTAATCTCAAGATAATACTACTAATCTGTTTTCCAACATTGTTGGGGGTTTCTGTGATTCGAGCGCCAAAGGCCATGGCTTCCCTTTCAGTCTCTTCATCTTCGACCATCATCGATTCAAGAGCTCCTCCTCGACAAGCCTCCGCCTCCGCCTCTTCTCCGTCGTGTATTTCCCTTCCCACGCTTCCTCCTCAGCCTCTTCAGTCCCAAAACCGCGTCGCAAAAGCCACTACTTACTGTACGTGTTTCCACTCTCGATAAATCTGGAAACTTTTTTTTTTCGTTACTTAGATGTCCGATTCCGAGTGTCAAAATGCTAAAGTTCGAAATGGGTTTTGATTCGAAGGTCGGAAGATTGTGAGGAACGTTGTGACGAGATCTACAGGTGAAGTTCCTGCCACTACTGAAGCTGCCACTACAGAGTTACCGGAAATCGTTAAGAGCGCTCAAGATGCTGTAAAGACATTTGCTTTATCCACTTTTTTGCTTCCTGGTTTATGATTCTTGTTTTGTCTCTGCAATGAACTGAATTTTGATAATTTTCGATTTGATATTCAAGTGGGACAAAGTGGAGGATAAGTATGCAATTGGTTCTCTCGCATTAGCTGGTGTGGTTGCTCTTTGGGGATCTACTGGACTGATTTCGGTGAGGAGAATCGTTCCATCTTCAAAACCCTAATTAGTGTTAAGGTTTCTTTTATTTTGATTCCAGATTTGATGTTGTGAAACAGGCTATCGACAGGCTTCCCTTGGTTCCTGGTGTTCTTGAACTTGTAGGCATTGGTTACACTGGGGTGAGTTTCTACTCGTACTTGTATCTTCTTTGTCTTTAGCGAACCTGTTTTTTTCAGAATTGTAGATGGATTAGTCCTCTGATTCGAGTATCGGAACAAATGCAATGTAGCGTTTCCATATTGAGATTTGATCTTACAAATGGATTGTTGCTTCTCATGAGTGCTTTTGAATTTCAAAGATGATTTTGTTAGTTGCTTGATTCATTTTGTGTGATGGAACTTATCATGTGGTTTAATCCTGATGTTTTTTGTTTGTTTGTACGCAGTGGTTTGCTTACAAGAACCTGATCTTCAAACCAGACAGGTCAAGCAACTCTCTAAAACCTGTGTTTGGTTTCGTCTAGTGGCTTTTGAGAAAATGAAACTCATATTTGTTTTTTTGTATCGTGTTTCAGGGAGGTTCTGTTCCAGAAGGTCAAGGACACGTACAGAGAGATATTAGGGAGCAGCTGAATCAGAGAGAGAAAAAAAGAAGAACCTTTTTAGGCCATTCATGAATTCGAATGAAGAGGCCTTCCCTTTGACCTTTCCTTCTTGTAACTAAATAATTTTTCACCCTCTCTCTCTCTTTCTCTCAATCTGTGTGTCTGTGTGCTCCCTTTTTAGCTCAAAATATCATCCATTTTATGTCAGTGTTGTAAATTCCTCAAGACTACATATGAGATGTTTGTTTCACTTTTCTTAAGTTTTCAAACTTCTGTCTTCATTTCGTTTTCAAGATTACGAATCACAATCGCAAACAAAGATCTGATCATAGACAATTTCATAAATGTGGCCCAATAATCAATAGGATAACGGAGCCCAATAAATATATATGGGCTTTGTGCTTTCGGCCCTTTTGACTTTATATATCGAACGCGTGAACTAACTACACGATGCGCGTTCGACTGTTCGAGAAGTAGTTCTCAAGATTCCAGGGTCCCACTGATGATTCTTGTGTGTAGAGACACGTGTCGAGAAACTGTGGGAGAGATGTGCGATCTTTCGTAGGTCCCACTATATCAAGATATTATAGCGTTTTGACGTTTTTAACCTTCAGGTAGTCGTGAACTCGTGGCCTGTATGCGGAGATGGTTGTGAACAAGTTGGGCTGGGGATGGATAAAGATGGAAATTCATAAGAAGCCGTCTCATCGCATTAGCCACTAATATATTGACATGTGGCAGCTTCACGGTGCCAGTTTCTTTTGTAGCCTCGAATAAATCTGAGATAATAAACAAAAATTTTAAAAGGAAATTAAATAGTTTGGGGGAAAAAATTATAGTGGCTGAGATTTCTCCATCTCCGTAGCTTCTGGTCTCTTTTCTGCTTCCTTGATCAAAAGCAAGAGTGTGCGTCTGCTTCCTCTTCTCCTTCTTCTTCTTCGTCTTCTTCTTCTCAGTCTCTAGATTTCTTACTGTTTTCTTCTCCGAGGAATCAGAAACTTAAGATTCTAATCTCCAAAATCTTCCCAAAAACCATGGGATCTTCAGCGAGTCCAGGCTGAGTTTACTTCTTCCATCTCCGATCTCCATTCTCTCTTTCTAATCAAATGATTCCATCTTCCATGGAATCTCATATAAGGTACTTAATTTCCCGTTTTCTCGGGATTGATTTTTTGCCTCAGGGCTCTCTAATTTCTCAATCGTGATTGTAAACCTGAATCGACCGTCTCTGCTTTTGTGTATTAGCTGAAATCGTATAAAACAGTGAGTTTCGTAAGAGAAGATCTGAAGCTTGTGTGTAGCTTCTTGTTCTCGAGCTCAGTGATGGAGACAAACTCGTCGGGAGAAGATCTGGTTATCAAGGTAACTAAATTCATTTTAGGCAAAATGTTTGCAAGTTTAGGTGAAAGCAAAGATGGAGAATTAGTGAAGTTTTGTTTTTTTTATTATTAAATAAATTATAGACGAGGAAGCCATATACGATAACAAAGCAACGTGAACGATGGACTGAGGAAGAACATAATAGATTCCTTGAAGCCTTGAGGCTTTATGGTAGAGCATGGCAGAAGATTGAAGGTTGATTTTTGGTTTTCTTTTTCTTTTGTGTGTGTGTGCTTTTTCTTGCAGAAGGTTTCTTCAATCTGATTTGCTTTTTTTTCTGCCATCATTTGTACAGAACATGTAGCAACAAAAACTGCTGTGCAGATTAGAAGTCATGCTCAGAAATTTTTCTCCAAGGTAACCAAGTGAAATCGGTTTATTTGAACTGCTGTTGAGACAGACAGGCAAGTTTTCTTCTTCTTGCTTTAGTCAGGACATAGATTGCGTACTAGACATGAGTCTAAAAAGTCTATATGTTGTATAGTTTTATATCTTGAGAAGAATGTTAGATTCTCTTGAAAGTCAGGGGAGAGCAACTTTTGATTTCTTGAAAGTCTTATCGACTGTGAGGTAGTGGCAAAAAGCTGGGTAGGTCCTAGAAATTTCTGTTTCACAAGGTGAACCATCTGAATATGTGTATTGTTCCTTGTGATGAGCCACAGAGGTAACCGATTTTTGATTTTCCTCTTCTTAGTGTCATTATATCCCAATCGTTATTGTTTGTTTGTTTTCGTTTTGTCTAGAGGGTAACAGGATTTCTCTCAATCTCTCAGGTAGAGAAAGAGGCTGAAGCTAAAGGTGTAGCAATGGGTCAAGCGCTGGACATAGCTATTCCTCCTCCAAGGCCTAAACGAAAACCAAGCAATCCTTATCCTAGAAAGACAGGAAGCGGAAATATCCCGATTTTCAAAACGGGTGTGAGTGATGGAAAAGAGTCTCTTGGATCAGAAAAAGTGTCCCTCCCTGAGGTGAGTTTCATGGTCATTAACATCTTCTTGTAGCGTGTCACATTGCTCCTCGTGTTATTGATACAAATCGTGTGCTATGTTTTTAGATGGCCAATGAAGAACAATCGAATCTGGAAGAGACTCTGCAGGAAGACAACTGTTCAGATTGTTTCACTCATCAAGACCTCTCTGCTGCACCTTCCATGAATAAAAGTTCTGTAGAGACATCAAATACAACCACTTTTCGGGAGTTCTTACCTTCACGGGAAGAGGTAAAAACCAATCTTACATTGCTATTTGATTTTGAGGTTTAAGACGGTTAGTATCTTTTCATGAAACTAACTGTTTGGAAAAAACAGGTGAGGCAGAATAACAGGATAAGAAAGGAGTCAGACTCAGAGAATTGCAGTGACTTGAATGCAAAACCTCTTGAGAGCGATGTGGTGGATAATGAGCAAGGACCTCAGACTTATCAAAGGCGTATCCCTGTGCCAGTGCCATTGAGGAGCTCGATGACAAGTCCACTGTCACATCCTCCTTCAGTGGCAGACGAGAATGACGCCCCAAGATATAGTCATCCACACGCAGCTGCAGGCGATTATCAGTCGTTTCCTAACCATATTGTGTCAAACCTTATACAGACACCGTCTCTCTACACCGCTGCTACTTTCGCATCATCCTTTTGGCCTCCCGATTCTGTTGGTGGTGGCTCACCTGTCCAAGGGAACTTACCTCCGAATCTGGCTGCCATGGCTGCAGCAACTGTTGCAGCTGCAAGCGCTTGGTGGGCTGCCAATGGATTGCTGCCTCTGTGTGCTCCTTTTAGTCCAGGTGGTTTGACCTGTCCCCCTCCAGCTACTTTTGGGCCGTCCGGTGAAGTGGACGACACAAAGGCAAGCACTTTACCACGTGTTTCTGCGCAGAACGGAGAGAGGATGAATGAACAAGAACAATCCGAGGCGTCAAAGGCTCGATCTTCGGTGGAATCAGAGGAGGTTGAAAATGGGAGTAAACCAGGTTGTCATGAGCAGCCTTCTGCAGCAGGCGAGACTGATGCAAAGGGCTCGGATGGAGCGAGTGACAGGAAACAAGTTGACCGGTCTTCGTGTGGCTCAAACACTCCCTCGAGTAGTGATGATGTGGAGGCGGATGCATCAGAGAGGCAAGAGAATGACACCAATGGTGAAGTGAAAGAAGCGAATGCAGCAGACACTGTTAATCCTCAGACTTCAGAGTCAAATGCACGCCGCAGTAGAATCAGCTCCAATTTAACCGATCCATGGAAGGCTGTGTCAGATGAGGTATTTGGACTAAAAAGATTTAACTTACCTTTACTCAAATCCTTTTTCTCAATCTTGAATCAGCTAAAACCAAATATTTGTATTTTTCAGGGTCGAATTGCCTTCCGAGCTCTCTTTGCCAGAGAAGTATTGCCACAGAGTTTTTCATATCAGAAAGAAAACAGAGAGGAGGAAGAGGAACAACAAGAAGAACAACAACATAGATATCCAATGGAACTTGATCTTAACTGCACAGCTCAGTTAACTCCAGTTGATGATGATCAAGAGGAACAGAGAAACGTGGGATTTTTGGGAATCGGGTTGGGTGCTTCAAAGCTAAGTAGAGGAAGAACAGGTTTCAAACCTTACAAAAGATGTTCAACGGAAGCCAAAGAAAGTAGAATCATCCACACCAATCCTATCATCCATGTGGAACAGAAAGATCCCAAACGGATTCGGTTGGAAACTCATGCTTCCACATGAAAAGTTGAAACTTTCTTTGTGCTCTGCTTTTTTTTTTTCAAATTTCAACATCTTCTTCTGTCCTTTGAGGCCTTTTGTATTTTGTCCACACACACTTCCCTTGTCCATAGTCTTCCTGTAACATTTGACTCTGTATTATCAACAAATCATAAACTGTTTATTCGAAATTCCACAAGCTTTATTGCTCTCTTTATCAAGAACACTAAACCATAAGCCATGGAACAATGACGTTTGGTAACGAATGTCAACCAATCCTGAACTGTTGTTATTAGGTGCAATGATTGTCACTGTTACCAAACGGTAGTGCGAGCATCGTAACGGGAGTCCCCCGTGAGTCCCGTTCCCAAGTTTATTTTTGTTGCCAAGAGAACGAGTAACCTTTAGATCTGACATTCCGTAATTCTTAATCTTTCTTTCATAAAATACAAATCTCCTTCTTCTTTTTTTAAAACATTTTGTATTTCTACTTACACGTATTACGTGTACATAATATCGATGGATAATTAATAGTAATAAAACGTTGATTAAAGCAAAGAGATTTAGCGTTTTGGAGTAAAAATAGGAGAGCTCGAGGATCAATGGTGCTAAATGTTAGCTATTCAACGGACCATTAGTCTTCCAAATTCCCCAACTTCTATAATCTTCCTCCTTCGCATCTCCACCCTCCATCTTTCCACCTATACCTCTTATGATCTCGACACGTAGGCACATCTCTTTCGCGCTTTGGGTCCAAAATCCCATTTTTCTTTTTAATTCCGTAATAACTCGGAGCAACAAAGACAACTGTGCACACACGCATGTCGATATTCAATATTTTCTCAACTCCCAGATTATATTTTTAAAAGATTAACAAAAATATCATAATTCCAAGTCCCACGAATGTAGCTTTTGATGCATTAATACAAAGTCTTAAATATTCTTTTACATTATACAAACATCTTTTACTCATTGATTGTTCACCCAAAAATCTGAAATGCATCCTCTGTTTCTCCCTTCTTCTTCCTCTGCTCTGTTTCTACTTCTTCTCCTCCTCCTAACTCTACAAACCCTAACATCCATCTCTCTCTCTCAGCCGGAACTTCTCCGTTCACCGGAAAAGTGCGGAAACTTCTCCATCTCCTTCCCTTTCCATCTCTCCTCCTCCTCCTCTACCTCCGTCGCTTTCCGACTCTCCTGCGCAAACTCATCAACTCTGTTCCTCCACATAAACAACCAAACCTACCGAATCATCGAGTTCTTCACCGACGGTCTCCTCGTAGACTTCCCTTCATCTCCTTCTTGTCGCCAGTTCAACGACCTACGCTCTTTCCCATTCTCCACAAACCAATTCTTCTCCATCTCTTTCGAAAACATCATCGGTCTCTACGACTGTGAAGACTCCTCTCTCTGTAAAGCCGGCTGTGAAACCAACGATCTCTTTGGTTGCGACGGCAGAGAAGAAGACGAAACCAATGGCGGAGATATCGGATGCTGCTATCCACTTTCCGATCACAGCGCGTGGCGTGCCGGCGACGATTTCTCTGTATTTGGTAAATACGGATGCAGAGGATTCTCTTCGTGGGTTGTGCCGAGAGGAACCAACAGAGGAAAACGAGGAGTTAAGTTAGAGTGGGCGATTCCGAGAAACTCCTCGGAGGCTATTTGTGATCGTGAGGCTGAAACTGTTAACGCTACGTCCATTCAAGGAAGTGTTCGTTGTGTATGCCGAGATGGCTTCGTCGGCGATGGTTTCATCCATGGAACATCTTGCTTAAAGTGTGAGTTTTTTTCTTCATCTCGGTCAACCCTAATTTAATCAGAGGACTGTTTCTTCAGCCACACGCAACTAACTTGACTTACTGTTGCAGCTTGCTACAGAGACGGGAAGGAAGTGTATGGAGACAAATGCGAGATCAAGAAACACAACGGGAAGAAACTCACCGTTTTAGCCGGTAACTAAGATAAAATCCCATCTCAAATAAATTTAAAACTTCTTCAAACCAAAGTTCTTGCTAAATTCGTTAGAATGTGTATAAATATGCAGGAGTATTAGCGCCTCTGTTCATACTCGGATCACTGTTAGCACTCTTCTGTCTCCTAAAACGTCCGGAAACAACAACTCACAAAGGTCAACAGTTCGATCACTCTACGACAACAACTACTACTACTAGTAGTGTTTCGTTTCGCAAAGGTTACAACAAGACTCGTCTCTTCACATACCGTGAGCTTGAAGAAGCCACAAAAGGGTTTCAAGATTCGCATAAACTCACACAAGGCAAAACCGGAACAATCTACTCAGGGAATCTAACAAACGGGACACGCGTGATCGTCCACAAGGTTCTCTGCCAAAACCAGATTGAGTTCTTGGAGGTTTCGTCTCAGATTGATCATCTATCCGCGGTTTTGCATAGAAACCTCGCCAGAGTCATAGGCTTCTGTATGGATATTGGATATAGTCCACTCGTTGTGTACGAGTATCCTGTAAACGGATCGCTTGAAGATCGATTGCTTCTAGGGCTTGATTGGTGCAAAAGAGTTAACATTGTAGCTGAAGTCGCTGGTTTGCTCGCTTTACTTCAATACGAGAACTATCCACCGATTCTACACAACAACATTGCTTGTGGTTGCATCTTCTTAGACGAAGACTTTCAAGCTAAAGTCACAGGCTTTGGATTACAGAGGAAACAGAGGATTGATAGCACTATGTACGATTTCGCGGTTTTGCTTCTGGAGATTGTGAGTGGATCAAAACAGAGAGAAGAGACGGTGACTCAAGCGTTGCAGAGGATCAGAAGCGGCAAGCTTGAAGAAATCGTGGATCCTTCTTTGTATTTTCATGAGCAGCCGGTGGCGTTTAGAGAGCAGATTGCTTTAGTTGCTGATATCGCGACTAGGTGCGTTTTGTTTGGTGGTGATGGGAAATTTGGGATGGTTGATGCGGCTAGAGAGCTGTTGCAGATCGCTGGGAATAACGGTGGAAGCGGTTGCGATAAGAAAGGAGATGGAATTGAGGAAACGTTTTCGAATTCGAGTTTGCTTCAGATGATTTCTATGTCTCCTGATTCTATCTATCTCCCCAAGACCTAACAAAATAAAATTAACGTTTTTATTTTGTATGTAATTTTAAAACGCTTTACTTGAGAGTAAAGAAACGCCTTTTTAATGATTACGAGATCATGTTCTAAACAAAAATCGTGATAACTATTGGTAGTCACGATTATAACAACGTGCAAGGCAAAGAGAATGCAAGAAACACCTTAAACAAAGTACAATGTTTTGTTATTTCCCATTTTCTCTAAATTAAATATTCAATTTGGGTAAAAAAAAAGAAATCGAAAGGCTGAGAAAGAATATCTCTAGTATCAAAAATCGATTTTGACCAAATCGTTGTGCTATTATTAAACTCTGGTTTCTAGTATATATAATATGGTATTAGCTCTGTTTTTGCAGAAGATATCTCTGTTTTGTCCCCAAAGAAAGATCCAAAGGTAATTAATGCTAATCTCTGATTGTTTCTTGGTTATATTAGATCTCAACAATCATCTTGACAAAGAAATTTGTGATTGGTAATGATCAACAGATGAGTGAAGAAACGTATGAAGAAACTCAGGAATCAAGTCAATCTCCACGCCCAGTTCCAAAACTCAACGAGAGGATTCTCTCTACTCTATCAAGGAGATCTGTAGCTGCACATCCATGGCACGACCTTGAGATAGGTAACTTCACTCTGACCATCATGTCCTTTTTATAATCACATTCAACACCAATTGTGAGTTTTTTGTTTTTGCAGGTCCTGAAGCTCCATTGGTCTTCAATGTGGTATGTCTCTCATACATTACCTTATAATCCAAGTAAAAATTTGTTCATTTCTCTCTTAACGAGATCCTCTCTGGTGGTCAGGTTATTGAGATCACAAAGGGAAGCAAGGTGAAATATGAACTGGACAAAAAGACCGGTCTTATCAAGGTAAGTGAAAATGAAGATCCCCAGATTTGTGTAATCTTCTTTTCTCTTAACTGTTCTTGTGATTGATGACGACATGGAATATGATCCTCAGGTTGACCGGATCTTGTACTCATCGGTCGTTTATCCTCACAACTACGGATTCATCCCCCGGACATTGTGTGAAGACAACGATCCTCTTGATGTTCTTGTCCTTATGCAGGCAAGTGTGTCTTCACATCACCAGAAAATTTATCAAACCAATCCCACATTTTGATATAGCTTTTGATTCGAGTATAGGAACCAGTGCTTCCAGGATGTTTCCTGCGTGCTAGAGCCATTGGATTGATGCCCATGATTGATCAGGTTTCTCCTTTCTTCCAATAGATCTTTCTTGTCGAGCAAAAAGAAGTGAAAGCCTTTAGCATTGAGTGTACTTAAGAATCAATGACCCATCTGAGTAAAAAATTTAAAGCTTGCTTGCTTCTCTGGAAAACATTTCAGGGAGAGAAAGACGACAAGATCATCGCCGTATGTGCTGATGATCCTGAGTACAAACACTTCACCGACATCAAACAGCTCGCTCCTCATCGCCTCCAAGAAATTCGCCGTTTCTTCGAAGACTGTAAGATCCTTTTGATTCACATCTCCAGTTTCATAAACATGAATCAATTAATCACGACCGAATTTAATTTGTTATATCGTGTTTGCTTTTAGACAAGAAGAACGAGAACAAGAAGGTCGCTGTGAACGATTTCTTGCCATCAGAGAGCGCACATGAAGCAATCCAGTACTCCATGTAAAGATTCTTCAAACCCTAAACCTTAAAATCGCAAACTTTGATAAAAGAACAATTGTGTAACGAATCGGAGTCTTTTGCGAATTTGCAGGGATCTATACGCTGAGTATATTCTCCATTCCTTGAGGAGATGAACAAACACCACGACGTTGTTTACGAAAGATGTGATCAGGCGGAGCATCCGCATATAAAATATTTAAATGGAATATAGTTTTTTATATTTTCTCGATTTATGATATATGTTCGGCATTTACAGTTTTCTCTTGTTTTTTTGCTATTTCTTTTGATGTTGCAGTTTTGTTGAATTTGTAAGATGAAAGTTTGAAACTGATATAAAGACAAATGTTACCTTTCATTCTTTTTTCCTTCTTACTTGCTTAACACTCGTCCACTAATGGGCTTTAGATGTTCTTGAGGCCCAAATGTGAATCAAAAGTCAAATTGTACTATAGAACGACACGTACTAAATTTGGTTTTATTTTTTTCAAGGGAAAAAAATCCTAACGAAAATTCTCTCTGTATGTGTACACTACACTACAGTACAGTGAATATAAACAGGTTTTTTTAGTTGGCAAATATATTGCGTAGTGTGGATCCAAATGAGAAAGCGACTAAACGTGAGTAGCACATACATAGATAGAGAATGGGCTTTTGTATTTATCATCTATATATCGAATTTATTTTGGGCCTCACTTTTCTTTTTATAGGGACCACACTATAGTCCCCTCCATTTAAATTCGTAAAATCAACAAAATGACGAATTAATTGTAAAATATGGTCCGACATGTGTACGTGAGTATATATGTATATGTATAAAATAATATAAATACAGAAGTAGATGTATATATATATAGTTATCAAGATTTAAGAGTGGGCACAGTGAATGAATAAATGTGAATATAGGAGCTGCAGGGGAAGCTGACTTTCGCAGCTACTGCAGGGTCCTTATATATCCATGGAGATGGACTCAATACATTTTATAATATATTATATAGTATATGTCAATGAAATGATAAAATTAAAGTTATAAATATATAATGGGAATACCTAAAATCCTATTTTTGCAAAGAAAGCCTCCAAATTTTCAAATAGTGTTTTTGGCCTTCAGAGTTGAGACAACCTGAGGTGGTTGATTCTTTTGTATCCATCCTTCCATACAAACCGACCCCACCTTATATCTTCGCATTTACATCGTAAACTAATCTATTAAAACTTCTCATTATCGCAGTTTTGTTTGCTTTTAGTTCTAATATAAGCTGCTAGGTCTATACGTGACACGATTAACATTAAATACTATATAATAAATAGTAATCTGAGAACAGAAAAAAAAGGGGACGAATCCAACTCTGTGAATAATTTTTATAATTGTCCGAAGGCATGGATATCACTACTGAACTAGAATTTTCAGGAACTAATGAATATCCAAAATTACATTAACTTTTCTTTATTTTTATCTTCATTTTGCACATGAACTTTTCAAGATGCATGCTTAAAGATTAATTATGTTTTGTTCTAAAGGAGAGGGTTGGCTAGAGAGAGAGAGAGAGAGTCCTAGACTCTGGGGGCAAATTGACAACTGGAGCATGTTGTTGCCATTATCGCACCACCGATTCTTCATTTTTGAATATTATATTAAGCAAAATGATGAAATTATTTTTAAAAAATGGACCGCCTTCTACTTCACCACTACCTCTTCGATGGCGACCGATCTTATATGTAATAGCATACCTTTTTAATAATTAATAATTGTCGACTTAATTAAATTAACACGAGTGACTCTACGGAGATCGCGTCAGTCCAAAAAAAACGTACAACTAAAATATAGTATATTGTATAAATTACTTTATAAAAAACAGAGAAACCCTAATTTCATAAAGGCTACGTTTTATTGTATTGCCCCCATACACACCTCAAGGGATCGAGCAAAAGCCACTAAGCCAGGCCTGCCCTGCCCCAGTCGATTGATCAAACTATTTATAAACATATGTAACCAATAATGTAAATTTACATGGAATTAAATGCATAGATTGTATAGAATGCGCATAGAGATTTCTTTTTGGTTAATGGCTGATTTATAAATTAATAACAAACAGAATTTTACAGAGATTGTTTTGGTTTTGAGGTCCTGTTACAATAAATGAGAGGAGGAAATGTACATTATAGAGTGTGCATTTGTAATTGGCAATTGAGAGGAGGAGGAGACTCTAGGGGAGAGAGAGGGTCTCAGGTGGTGGACAAAAGAAAGAAGCGCGAGTGGGCATTTAATTTAAGTGTGCAAGTCTGGATTTTTCGGTATACAATTACAAAGTGGTCCTTACCCTAAACCCCATCCTTTCCTTCTTTCATTATCATATGCTAAATCTATCTCTATACATACACCTACTCTCCATCATTATCATAAGCTAATTTGGTACATTAAACAACTACTCTTAAGTGGGTTTGCAAAAATCTAGTTTAATCCCACAAAACAACGACTAACAAACTACTTCCTTCAGTTTTTTTCGTTTGTCGATTTCAACCATAGTATGTCATTACTTAGGTACAAAATTGGAAGGTAATGTTATCGAGGGTCTAAGACCAGTTGTGATTATGAGTTTATTGCTATGAAATTGGCTATTTAAAAGGTTCGAAAACAAAGTTGGCTATTCGACCGATTTTTGTTTTGTTTTGTTTGGTTGACAAAGTGTTTCGTTTTAAAAATAATGAAAATTACATATTCTTGGATTTGAAAGACAAAACACTAGGGAATTAAAAAAAAAAAAGAGGATTGTTAGATGTGTATATGGTTTTGAAATCTCGACAGCTATACTAATAGGTTACCAATCAGCCCCTTAATTAAACAAATGACACCGATACAAAAGGCTACCAATTATTATGTGTGATTGTATATATATTTGAACTTTTGATGTTTATGTAATTATTGTAACGATGCTTAATGTATTTCGTGCTGTCGAAAAAGGAATACTCTATTTTGTAACAGTACTCGATCGTAATGTTATTAATCTGATCCGTTACATGCATTAGTCTCTAGCTCACGACTCGAGCTTGATATATATACACTTTAGTAAAACAAATAACAACTTCATATATGATCCGTTAAGGCGTTAATCATAGTTGCATTTTTATAGTTTCGGTTCAAGTTTAAAATTAACAAATAGGTTGATAGGAATTGAAGAGTGGGATGTATTGAAATAGAGAGGTCCCCTTGGCTAATAGGGCATAGCTTTGAAAAGGACGACGCTACGGTTTCCTCGTAATTTCTTCATATTTATTGTATTAGTCTTTCCATCTCTCTCTGTCTACAAGAAAAATAAATAGTGAGATGATAATATGTAAAATATTAACAACAAAAACAGAGGTAAACAAAAAGAATAGTGTTCATTTATATAAAGAAAGTTCTAATCGTATTGCCTTTTGTTGTGCTTCGCTATTTTTGCAAATTTTCGAAAATAATTTTATCCGTCATATTTTTACTTTGGTGATATCTAATATTAAAATCAATTGTATATATTCTAGTAAGAGGGCGTCAAGCGACAAAGCCAAAAAAATAGGGTATAAGATGCGCATGAAAGGCAACACAAACCCCATTGTATTTAGAAAGTTTGCAAAGAAATGATGAAGATAAACCATGCAAATGATTATATGAATAAAAGTAAATTTTATTAAATGCAACTTGATATATATTACTGTAGTTTTTGATTAAGATACGAAAAAAAAAGAATAGTGTTGTGTTAAGATTCGAATCAATAACGATAAAACAGAAGAAAACAATGTAACGACTAGAGCTTTTGTGTCCAACCAATTATGTACTGAGGATGAGATTTTGGACCACGTTTATGAATGTTCCATTACCTACTGCTTCATAATTTATCTAATAATCGAAACCTCTCGGCCCAACTTAATATAAGCTCAGCCGTCAATGAAAATATAGTGTGATACACTGATACTAAAAAAACTGGTTTAAGTAGTAATCGACTAATAACGTCGACTGAGATGAAATAGGCTAGTAGAATTCTACTTTTGATAAAGTTCTAAGCTTTAATCGTTAGCCAGCCATTGATTACTGTTAACGAAATTGGGCAACGAGACATGAAGGGTGCTTAGTCTCTGTCAGGACCACGTATACGTACCAAATTATAAGATTAATACTGACCATGCATTATAACAAATAATTTATTGTAGCTATTAAGGATTTGTGAGGGTTCAAGTGACACGTTATGTTATAGAGCAACATATATATGTAATATTACTATACTAACTTTGTTATATTACATGGATAAAATCATTAAACCAAAAAAAAAATCAAATGTATTGTTTTTCGTTTTACATTGAAAAGTTATATATCTTAAGAGTGCCGTTTTATTTTATAATACTCGTCCTAAAATGTTATAAAGAAAAACGATTACGATGTTAAGCCATTACGACATTATCTAGCTACTTCATATTAGTGACTTGGTTTTTTGCTGGATACTAAAGAAATTATGTATTCTCAATCCGGAAATGAAAAGTGGATTGATTTTATATGTTACAGAACTTGTTTTATTTAAACTAGCTAAGATAATATTGATTAGTATATCACTTTAAGAATCCTTAACTTAGTCTATTATGCAAAAACCAGTTCCTTAATATAATTTTATTAGGCAAAAGCCAGTTAATTAGCTATTTAAGGTTTAGTGATCATGTTCCAAACAGAAGTGTGTTCTAGCTCAGTTGTTAGGTTCTAATCTTCTGCCGACCAAAATTAAAAAAAATGGTCATAATTTTCTATTATAGTAAGATTGTGGGTCTCACACTCGAGTCTCGGCCCAAACAAGAATTCAGTCTCTCACCATACTCACAAACACAATAGATTTATTACATTTGTAAATATTTTATTTTTCTAACTAGGGTGATTATAACCACGCATAATCTTTTTGACCAAAGCTATGATTTTAAATTTTGATCATTTTAAAGGTTTTTGTAGATATTAATAGATAGCAACGAGCACACAAAGTAAAGTGGTTATTGGTATTTTTTTTAAAAGGCAGGTAAGAGGTATAAATGTGTGATTAATATAGAAAGAATCTCTTCCAAGTGGGAAAAAGTATATAACAAGTGTTGCAAATGGCAATAGTAAAACATGTAACACTCAAAA